TGTCTGTCTGTCTGTCTGTCTGTCTGTCTGTCTGTCTGTCTGTCTGTCTGTCTGTCTGTCTGTCTGTCTGTCTGTCTGTCTGTCTGTCTGTCTGTCTGTCTGTCTGTCTGTCTGTCTGTCTGTCTGTCTGTCTGTCTGTCTGTCTGTCTCTGTGTCCGTGTCCGTGTGTGTGTCTGTGTGTGTCCGTGTGTGTGTGTGTGTGTATGTGTCTGTCTGTCTGTCTGTCTGTGTGTGTCCGTGTGTGTCTGTGTGTCTCTGTGTGTGTATGTGCGCCAACTGGGTGGGTGGCTGTGTGGATGGATGCACTGGGGGTGTTAGGCACCTTGAAGCCAGAGACTTCTCCTGACACCTCAGTGACTCATCTTCAAGCATGCGCAGGTCTCCGGGCCTCAGTGACTCATCTGCAGACGGGGAGACAAAGCCATGCAGGGTTCACATAGCCAACTATCAGGGCTTCTGACCCGGTGAAACGAGCCTGCTGGTGCTGAGGGGCGGCGGCCCGGGTGAGCGGCTCGCACAAACCCGAGCCTGACAGACACCCTGTCTCTCTCTCTCCCCGCCCTCCCCCCAGCTTCTCTTGGCTGTGTGGCCAGGTGCACAGGAACATCCTCTCCAAGTTCACGGGGCAGGCTGTCGAGCTGTTTGATGAGGAGTTCCGCCGCCTCTACGCCGCCTCCAAGCCCGTGATGGGTCTCCAGTGCTCCGGGCCGCTGGAGCCTCTGCAGCCCAGCCGGGGCCCGGGAGCCTCCAGCGGCAGCAGCAGCAGCATCTCCAGTGGCCGCACCTCCTCCAACCCCTTCAGCAGCCAGTCGAGCGACAGCCTTCCCCCGCACCCGCACCCGCACCCGCACCCGAGCCGGTCCACGTCCCCGGGGCCCGGCAGTGCGCATCCCTTGGTGCCCATCGCATCCGCGGTCCCCGTGCCGCTTCCCAGGCCCCCGCCCTATCAAGGCCGCCTGAGAAGCGCCGCCCCGCAGGCGCTCTTGGTCCCCGTGAGGCCCCACGAGGCAGCGCCCCCCCTCTACAGCAGCTTCGTGACCTACAGGCCCATCCGGGTGCAGCTGCAGCAGCTCGGCCTGGTGCCCAGGGTCATGCACCCCTGGAGGCCTTTCCTCCAGGATTTGCTTCAGGCTCGGCCTGGTGCCCAGGGTCATGCACCCCTGGAGGCCTTTCCTCCAGGCCTTGCCTCACTTTTGAACGGCCCTTTCCCCTCTCTGGCCCGCGGGGGTGAGGACCAGGCGCTGCTGAGTTTTCTGACCCAAAGGCCATCCATGCCTAACGACCAGCAGGATCGAGCCTAAGGGCTAAAAGCACTGGGGGTTCTGGTAAGGGGGTGGGGGGAGAGATTATTGCCGCTTCTGAATGTTCCCAGGGCCCAGACCATCCACTTGCATCAGTTCCTGGGCTTCTCAGTAGGCCCATTCTAGAAGATTCCAGGGAGGCAGTGGAGAGCCCTCAGTGACAAAATGTGACAGGGAACCCGTCTTCCAAGGGCTATCCTGGCCTTTGATCTGTTGACAAAAACGTAAAAATGGGTAGTAGATGTTTTATAAACAGGTTCCACTCCCCCAAAGACTCAGAAAGGTAACAAGTGTGCGAACATTCCCGAAGTTTCTGGTAAGAAAGGACTCCGCCCCTTAAGTGTCTTAAACCGGAGTTCCCCAGACCTGAAGGATTAGCAATGAGACCCTAGAATCTGTGATTATGTGGGGACCACCTGAAGCTGCAGCCAGCAGGCATTTTAACAGGCTCTGGTCTGGGAGGCCTTGGGAGTCTGCACTGGCTGCAGGGACTTGAGTGGTCACGGCTGGGAATGGCCTTCAGCAAGGCCCCGGGCAGCCTTGGACAAGGTTCCAAGGGTTCATCTGGCCCAGCCCAGCCACCTGCCTCCAGCTCTGGGCTCTCTGCTCGTCCTGTTGATGCCCCGAGAAATGAATATGGGAGTCATCATTAGTTCATTCCCAGAGAATGTGACCCCTGCCCCTCTACTGGGACATCTGGGGGAGGGGGAGATAGGGTGACAGGATAAGGTCCAGGCTGGTCCAGCCAAAAGAAGGCAGGTGCCTGGGACCTGGAACACACACACACACACACACACACACACACACACACACACAC